TCATGTGTTTCTTCATAGCTCATTTGCTACTAGAATGTGAAAGAATTTTGGTGATGCAGTGGGTGTGCAAGGCCCTCTTGTACAACTTCACCCGTCCATATTGAAGTGGTGGAGCCTTGAGTGTGTGAGTAAGTTGAAGCCTTTGATCCAAGCTGCCTCTGCCATGATTTTTTGGCAACTATGGAAGTGGAGGAACACATGTATGATTGGAGGTACAATATCTTTTTGGAGAGTTGTTTATGAAATCAATAACAACCTCCACTACCTGGCTAGAGTGAGGTACCCTTGGCTTCCTAATATACATTTTTCATGGCCTTAAATGGTACAATACTTTGAAGGGTATAAGCCATTACTTGGGAGTAAGTTGGTGCATTGGTCTTGTCCGCCGGTAGGTTGGTACAAATGTAATATAGATAGGGTTGCAAGGGGCAATCCAAGCCCTAGATCCTATGCCTTTTGTGTTAGAAATATGTAGGGAGATATTATGTGTGCAAAGGAAAGAAGGCTAAGGGATGGTGGAAATATGTAGGCAGAAGCTATAGCCATAAAGGAGGTGTTAGAATTTTTGTGTATCTATGGCCTACTGTCAGTTATCAAAGAGACAGATTCCTTGACAATCAAGAAGGTTTTGGATGGAGTTTGGGAGATCCCTTGGATTATAGTGTTGGAGGTGAATAGGGTTAGGTAGTTGAGGGGGCTAGGCCAAGTGCAAGTTGCCTATGTGTTGAGAGAGGGCATTGCACTGGCTGGAATTTTAACCAACCTTGTTTTTAATTTTGCAGGTGACATATCCTTTGAAGACTTCCATGAACTTCTATTCCAACTTAAAAATATCCTCAATGTTGATAATCTCAAATCCCTAATATCCGTATTACTAAACTCAAAAGAAGGGATCCGAGTTGAAGCTTACACTTTAAAGAAGACTTCAAAGGTGAGAAAGAAAGGGACATACATGCTGCTTTGGTTCACTAGACATATGTGCATATCTTGCTTGTATGTCTTACATTACTTATGTCTCATGTTATCCTACATTCTCACTTATTTGAGGCATAGTTATTTCCATTTGCTTGGGTTAGGGTTCCTTGGTTATGACTGTCTATTGAATCCTTTCTAATATTTGGTATTAATATTGAATAGTGTTAAATCTATTAGAGGAGAGTCAAATGATAGTAAGGGAGTTTACTCATACTTTATGGATGCATGCTTGTGTACACCTTGGATAGTTCTTTCTTGGTTGATATATTCTGGTATGATCGTTGGGCAAAAGATACATTGCACTGCCCTATGTTGCTTTGGAGGCTTCTTCTTTTTATGGTTTGAATTCTATAGCACCTAGTGAAAGCATTATAGGTTTTTTGAGATGACATCCAATCATGGCCTTGGGACGTTGCTGCAAGGATTCTTTTGCATTCCACTTGATTAAATCGAGGTTAGCTTATATTTTTATGTACTTAATTAGCACCAGTTTACATGTATCTATTCTTGTATTTATACCCAACTTAGGACTTGTTATCACTAAGTTGGTACTAAGTTTATTTTGTGCAAAGTTTATACTTCCTCAAGTTGTAAGACTTATTTGGTTTGATTTTTTATATATTAGTCGCTAAGCAATCTGCTTAGTGACCCTTTCGCAAAAAAAAGAAAAGAACCTATCCATTTACTGTTCATAACAAATCCTAGTTCATAATTTGCTCCAAGAACTTGTGTTCCTTTCTCATTAAAAAGATGTTTCTCAACTCACTACAACTCCCAAAGATCCATCTTAATTTGTATGTGAGTAGATCTAAAGATTTATATTTTTGAGTTCAAAACCTTAGCTTAGGTCTTGGTTGAGATTCTTGAATCTTGAGATAGGATCCTATGGATTCAGTTCACAAATGTCGTTAGGATAATATTAAATGGTGTTAGCATACCATAAATTATTACCTTGGTGATAGTTATGAAAGATATGCTCATCCTTCTCTCTAGAATAATATTCCACTTTGGCAGAAATATTTTTGCTTCTCTCTCTTCGACTCATAACATTCCTTATATAGTGACTTTGGGGTACCGCGAGGGTTTCCTCCGGACACTCACTTTACATAGGTTTCTCTTCGATTACACATGGAATTCTTTGAACATTCGTAGGTTGCTCCTGATTCCCATGTGACACTCCGGATTCTCATGGTTCATTATGGATCTCCCGTTTGTTGCTGAGGCATCCTCATGCGCCTTCCTTTATTCTGTCTCGGCTTCTGAGCCTTGACTGACCCAAGTAGAGGTTAGGACTTTCTGAGGTCTTTATATTGTCCCCTACTTAGGAACATTCATCCTTGAAAGTCAAAAGTTAGCCCTCACTACACACTGAAAGAGTCTTAAATCGGTAGCTCGTGCCGCCCCAAAGAAACAGATCCTCACAAGTCATTCTGGGTCCCTCAACCTGTACACTCCAATTTGCTGCATTCTTGTCTTCTTCATTAACATTATCTTTGCATTCGAATCCGGGAGAAGCTAACGTATGGTCTTATATATGACATAAAATGTAACACATGAAGGAAAAGAACTCTAGTAGTCCTTAAACATGTTCATCTTCTTCAAGAAACAGATGGGGATATATTTTCTTTATGCCTTTTCCCACTTCTCAAGTTGCCTCTTTGACATGTTGGTTCCTCTATAACACCTTAACGGAGGGAATTTCCTTAGTTGTCAACTTGCGAATCTACCTATCCAGAGTAGAAGTAGGAATTTCTTCATAAGTCAACCCCTAATTTACCTCAATAGATTACGAGGGAACGATGAGCGATGGGTCGCCTATCAATTTCTTTAACACAGACACATGGAACACGCGGTATACAGAAGATAATTCTTGAGGCAATTCAATCTTATAGTCTAATTGGTCAATTTTCTTCAAAATTCTTTAAGATCCAATGTACATTGGATTTAATTTCCCCATCTTCCTAAATCTCATTACACTCTTCATAGCATAAACTTTCAAGAATACTCAATTATCTTGTTTGAACTCCAAATCTCTTTATTGAATATCCGAATAGGACTTTTTGCAGATTTGGGCGGTTTTCAATAAATCCTTAATTATTTTAACTTTTCAATAGCTTGGTGAATAAGGCCGAGACCCATGAGTTCCACTTTACTAACCTCGAATCACCCAATAAGAGATCTACATCTCCTTCCATATAAAGATTCAAACGGAGCCATCCGAATGCTCGCGTGGTAGCTGTTATTGTAAACAAACTCAATGAGTAGTAAGTGATTATCCCAACTTCCTTTAAAGTCAAGAACACATGCCCTCGACATGTTCTCGAGCATTTGGATTGTCCACTCTGCTTGCCCGTCTGTATGGGAATGGAAACTTGTGCTAAGACTAACTTGAGTGCCCAGAACTTTCTAGAACTTTTTGTCATGACCCAAAATCTCACCAAAAGCCGTGATGGCCCCTAACCCGCTTTCTAGCAAGCGAAGACTCAATCAACAATAATGAAAACAGATTATCAAGTCTTTAACAGAATCATGATTATTAAGTCTTTAACAGAATACATCTCAAATCAATATCATAAATACATAAGTCTAAGACAAGGTCTAAACACCATCACAAATAATATCCCAAAACCTGGTGTCACCTCATCACGAGCATCTAACAAGAGTAAACAATATCAACTGAACAACAATATATGTCCGAAAAGGGAATAGATTGACATAATAGATAAGTAGGGAGGGGTGTCACACCTCCTATTTATGGGCATTATGAAAAGGAAAGGAGTTTTTCCAATTAAATTAAAATTATTTAAAAATTGATTAATTTATTAAGTTAATGAGTCGCCACTTAGAATTATTTATTACGGTGTTCCGAGCCACCAAATTATTAAAATCCCAATTCAAGAAAAACTTGACTCCATTTATGGTCCGTGAACACATAAGACCGGGTAAGAAATTTTGTTAACCAAAGTGAAGGTATAAGGCACTCTCCGAGTCCGTAGTTTTAGCACGACCACTTTAAGAAACTACACTTGGATTTAATTAATCTAGATTATTGCATATTTAGGCATTTTATGCATTTTTACTTTTATTTGCTTATTGTTATTTTTAAAAGAGTTATGAAACTAATCTTGAACAAGTCGCGTTGTCGCACACTTATTGTTTGTATGTATTGAAAGATCATGCCACGCGTACATACTCATGATTTAACAACACGTTTATTTATTATTTTAAGTTATAGGATCAAGGCACGTAGACGCACGCTTGAATTTTGGGATTACATATCACGTTTATTTATTATTTTAAGTTTAGGATCAAGGTACGTAGACGCGCGCTTGAATTTTGGGATTACATATCACAGTTGTGCCACGGAAATAATACCCACAACTATAAAAATTTATTATTAATTGAAGCGCGCCTAAAGCAACTAGCGATGTTTATTCTTCCTAGCTTGAGATTATTGTGAGGCCAAGAATTGTGGAATTTATTGGTTGATTAGGGGTGGAGTTTAGACTATTGGTAAGTTAGTTTGTTAAAAAAAATATTTTACGCCTGTTAGGATTTTAAAGGATTATTAGCAATCTGTCTACTATGAAAAAGACTATGAATTGAACTAAAGTAGACTAAAACTATGGTTTAGATATATTGCATATTTGATAGGAGCGTGAGGTTTATCGGACTTGGTGTAGCAATGGAGGCATTTAAGAAAAAATGAACCAACGATTAGTTCTGAATTTATGAATAAAATCGAACTTGCAGGGTTAGAGGTGAATCATTTACACACAACCGAGTTCAACCAATTTATCATATACTTCCAAGCCCAAATAGCCCAGAAATCTTAGAGTCAACAGACTCATCTAGAAAAACAAATGAGGCCCATACGACCTTCAGAAGCCTGATCTTAATTCAGGGGTCCAATCGAACCCCTTTACGCTAATAGTCCTATGATTTTGCGATCGTTGGCCAAACATCATCAATTGATTTCGTTTAATTACGAGTTTTAATGGCCGGCTCTACTGATAAAATTACACTTTGCAAAATATCTTTCCATAATAAAATGTGAAGCAGTATAATTACAATCATCCAGATAATTATCATGTCAAAATTTATAGGAACTCTTACATAAACAAACGCCTAATTTCGTCTTTCAGAATCAAACAAGCAAGTTTCCTAACTAACCACTCTAAAGTCAAATCCCTCACATTCTTCACATCCAGGCGTACCTATTCTCTTTTTCTGCACCGTTATGACTCCGGCATAGATTTGATTAAAGCCTTTAACAATATACTAATCCTCAAACGTACAAACATCACTTCTATGCTAGAGATCTATCCATCACAATTAATCTTTTGGTTCTGGAAGTGCAAATCTGACTCATAGATGGTCAGATCTAAAAGTGAGAACCTTCCACTGGAATTTTCATCTACTAAAACAACCTTTAAGGCATAGTGTAAGCATTAGAAATCAGAAACTTTCACAATATAGAAATTACAGCATCCAAACTATGAACTGATAACAACAAATCAAACCTTAAAGTTCATAGTAGATCAAACACATATGCTTTCAGATCTTTATTGAGAGGCAAAGAATAAACACATGCTGCTTCAATGGACGAGTTTTCCTAATTTTAGTAACCTATTTCATTCACAATAGTTGTCAATGAACTTATAGCCTTTATTTTGAACATTAAAAGAGCATTCAACACATATTATAGTAAAAAATTTAAGTTCGAATAAATCAGCAAAGACCAAAAATAAACTGACACTTTCCATCATTCATAACAACAATAGGTACAAAGGTTTTTGTGTTTACCTATAGCAAGATAAATCATTGAAAATGGCCAAATAAAGGCTAAAAGAGAAAGGATGGAGCTAAGCAACAAAATTCAACAGCATCAGGCAAATAGAGTACTAGATCACAGTCAGTTCTTGAAGCTCAGAGAAAAAGAGATTGAAAACTCGAGAATCAGCGGAAAACCAATAGCAAACTCCTAATCTTTTCTTAGCTCTTCAAAATCCTTCAAACCCCCTTTTTATTTCTATGTTTCTTGGATCTCAGCCTTTAGTGACTTCAAGGGAAGAATACTATTTCTTGCAACGGCTGACTGCGTTTTAAGATGAGTGTATAATGGGCTTATATAGATCCCATGCCCTAGGGTTCCCTCCATTTCCCCTCTCTTACTTATTTTTCCCCTAGCCAATCACAAGACTAGTTTTCTATTCTCGGCTTTTATTAGTTACAGAAGATTCTTCTTAGTTATTTTCCCATGTTATCACAAATTCTCATGTACCTATCTAATTGCAGTTGACTCACCCTCTTCTAGAACCTTCTTTTCATTTTTCCTTTAGTTCTTTTCCCCTTATACCCTTAGGCGACCTTTGAGGGGCTCGGTCAAGCTGGATCGAGCTTTGGGATTACAAGTTAAGCCCATGTGGACCAAATGAAGGTCCAACATGAATTACTAAACCACCTAAAGCCCTTTAGTACATCCCAGAAACCTAATTAGCACCCCATATCTACAAATCCTATTTGATCATCTAAAAATAAAAGTCAACCAAACATTATCAGTCAAAGATAAATTAGCCACTTGAAAGTTAACTAAAACATGCCAACTAACTCATGCAACAGTTAATTAAGTTATGAAAGTGAATTAATACCTAATCACTCATGCATGCTATTTTGTTTAAACAAAATAGAAGGAACTAAAATTAAAGTAAAGAAACAAAAACAGAAAAATAAAGAAAGAAAAAGAAATAGAGATGTAAGAGAATACCCATCAAGGTGGAGCCAAAAATGGGAGGATTCAAATGGTGGCCGACTCGGCATAATCCGACCACCAATGGACCTTTTTCTAGGAGATCCACCTTGAAATTCTATGTCCTGGTGGATCTTCCTAGAGTAAGGCTACTGTGGGTTCGATGGGGACGGAGACGAAGGAATTGATCGATTTTGGCCGGTTATCAGTGAGTTGACCGGCGTCGATGGCTGTGAAACTTCACAAGACCAGCATCAATCTAAAGATCTTCGTGAGATTGATCGACTGATGTAGGTTTTGTTGCCATCAAGGCCTAGGTTTGGTATAAAATCAAAAAGGGGCCAAAGGGCTAGGGTTTCAAATTTCGTGGCTAGATTCGTGGATTCTGGTTGAGATTCAAAAGATACTGGTATGAGATTTGAAGAGAGGAGAGCAAGGAGAAGCAGGTTCTGAAATTGGGCGCCGGGGTTTTGGAAGTGAGTTTGTTTGAGAATAAAGGTCCGACCTTTACATTTTAATTTTATTAAAATTGAAATTGGACAAAAACGACGTAGTTTTGGCTCGCAACTACATCGCTTTGATCTTTGAATTGAATGCGGGGCAAACCGGGCATTGAAAGTGGACTTGGAGCGGGTATTTCTTGTAATAATAGGCCAAATGAGCAGGCCCAGTCTGATCTAAATCCAAAACATGCCCTCTCCATCCTATTTAATTTGTAACCACATTTAAAATGTGTACAAACTAAAACCTATTTTCAATTCCAGCCTATATTGTCTAATAAAACCATTTTATCAAAATTATATAAATTATCCTAATTGACTATTAGTCATACCAATTATATTTCTAAAAATGCAAAATAACTAAATGCACATATTTTTGGGTAATTTTGTGATTTAAAGTGTGCCTGATGATGCCAAAAAATGCATGTAAATCTACAAATGCTATAAAATGTAAACAAACAAATAAATAAAGGATCCTAAAACTTCTATAAAAAGTTAAAATAATTTAAAAAACTAATTTGAAGTATTTTTAGGAATAATTTTGCATGGGGCAAAAATTATGAGCTCACAAGGGGGACTCCATGTGTTGCGGATCGGATCAAGTAAAGCAGCTCTCCACAGAGTCTCCAAATATGCTCCTATTCAACTGGATGGGTACCACAAGTACTTGCCTCACAACCTGCTAAAAAATATATAGAAGTGTAGTACGAGTACAACACCATGGTACTCAGTAAGTATCAAGTCTAGCCTCGAAGAACTAGGGGTAAGAGGTCGATATCGACACTTATTAACAGTTTAATAATCAGGCAGAAGCATAAATGAGATATGAAATAAGGCATGGAATCATCAAATAAGTACGAAAGCAAGAAGCACAGTGTATATGGAATTTAGGCATGCTTAACATATATAGGAGGTCAAATGAGGTGTCCAATACCTCAATCCTCGCACAAAAACATGATGCAAATCAATCAACATTTATATAAAGAGTCTATGATATGTAAATATGCATGTCAGGATCCCTTTTCAAAGGTCACAACACAAATCCATGTGCCTGACACAGGCCACGTGTCAAAACTAAGCACCAAATCTGAATGCCTATGCTCATAGGGACCAAAGTAACATGGGTAATCACCTAAATCTAGAGAGACGAATGCACATCCAAGCGTTAATCATTTTACAATTAGTGATCAATAATAGATATCCGTTCATAATACCATAGTGCCAAATTCCTCTACTTTTCACAATATCCTATTCTCCAGCTCATGCATATGTGTATGAAATAATATGATTAAGAAGCAACAGACATAACAATAGAGACGCGGATAAAAGCTCATATGGCTAAACGATGACTATGACTAATCATGTAACTCAAATTATCTCAACAATTCAATAAGTAATTTTAACATTCAAAAAGTCTTTTCATAACATTTAACATGAATAAATTAAGCCATATAACCACCAATCATGAATCAAATAAGGTAAGTGTATGACTACGACTTAGTAAGAAAGCTCAACATGCCAAAATGATCCTTTATGCCCAATTCAACAAGTCATAATCTTAAGCATGCTTCTAAGACATAACTATGAAGCATCACGTAGTCATATAATCAACGAAAAATGGATAATAAATTCACATAGTCCAAACAAAATATATCATAACCCAAACTCTACTAGGTATTGTCATAACCTAGCTACGCATATACGCACATCACCTCGGATATACGTGGCTCCTGAATCAAGTAACAGGTAGCAGATAGATCACCTATATGAAGAATTTTCTCTTACAAGGATAGACAACAGACTTACCTCCACAATGCTTTTCCTTTCAAATCCACCTCCAAACGACTCGAATCTAGTCAAATAGTACTTAAATAAGTCAAATAATGCTATTGAAATCAACTCCAAACAATAAAGCTTCAATTTTTAATAAAAAATGTACAAAAGTCAACCCGCGCCCCACATGATCAAAACCCGAGTATTGGAATAGATCCCGACTATCCATCACCTCACGAGTCCAAATACATGATTAGATTCCAAAACGGAGTCTAAATCGGCACTCAAAACCCCAAATTACACACTTTTAGGTTTTAGATAAAATCCCCAAAATTTCACTTTAAAATTTCATGTTTAGGTGTAGAAATCCATGTGAATCAAGAGATATAATTAAACCCAAGTGGAATTTACTTACTCCCAAAATTATGGTGAAAATCTCTTCCAAACTCACTTTTTGCCGAGCTCCAAAACTCAAAATAATGAAAAAGAGTCAAAACTCGAAATATGACATGACGTCAAGCATTTTCGCTGTGCCCAAAATGTCCGCATTTGCGAGCACCGCTTCTGTGACTAAAGCCTCGCATCCACGAGCTCCCTTTCACCAGCCAGACATCGCACATGTGACACACAATCTGCATCTGCAGAATCATAGTGCGCACACTCACTCGCAAGCGCGACAATGTATATTCTCCAGGACCTCTGTATGTGCGGTCCCCATCCTAGGAATGCCTTCGCAGGCGCATATTATTCCTCACAGGTTCGACCCTTGCACCTGCGCACCTCCCTTCACCGGTGCGATGCACCAGAACCAACAACATCAACAACTCCTAAATGGTCTAGAACTATCCCAAAATGCACCCGAGCCCCCATCCAATCCTACCAACAAGTTCGAATACATAATCCAAATTTATCCAAAGATTCAAAACACCACAAACAACATCAAAACCAAGAATCGAAGATCAAAATCCATTCTTTAATTTCCAAACTTCCTAACTTCGCCAAACACATTTGAATCATGCATAAACATTCCGGATTTCAACCAAACTTCGCACACAAGTTCTATTAAAAAGAATAAATCTCTCCAAAGTCCCAGAACACCAATCGGAACCCGATAACGTCAAAGTCAACTATCGATCAAACCTATAAACTCTCCAATTCTTCAAATTGCCAACTTTCGGCAAATAGAGCCAAAACCTTCTAGGAACCTCCAAATCGTATTTTGAACATATGCAAAAGTCCAAAATCACCATAAAAACCTATTGGAACCATCAAATCACCAATTCGAGGTCGTCTACTCAAAAGTTCAACCTTGGTCAACTATTACAATTTAAGCTACCAAAAATAGAACTAAGCATTCCAATTCACTCTCAAACCTTCCCGAAACCAAACCAACCATTCCCGCAAGTCATAAAATATCAAACAAACATACAATAAGTATCAAATAGGGGGAACATGGCTCTCATACACAAAAATGACCGGCCGGGTCATTACATTCCCCTTTTTAAAACAAACTTCATCCTTAAACGGGTTTAAAATCATAGCTGGAATGCCAAAAAGATGAGAATATCTGCTCTGCATATCATGTTCGGTCTCCCAAGTCGCTTCCTCGACCGGTTGACCTCTCTATTGAACCTTCACTAATGAAATCTCTTTCGACCTCAACTTATGAACATGCCTATCTAGAATGGCCACTGCCTCTTCCTCATAAACCAGATTCTCATCTAACTGCATTGAACTGAAATCAAACACATGTGACTGGTCTTCATAATACTTTCGAAGCATGGAAACATGAAATACCAGGTGAACTCCTGACAAACTGGGTGGAAATGCAAGCCTGTAAGACACCTCACCAACTCTCTCTAGAACCTCAAATGGGCCACTAAACCGAGGGCTCAACTTGTCCTTCTTCCCAAATCTCATCGCGCCCTACATAGGCGAAACTCTAAGAAGAACCTTTTCACCTTCCATAAAAGCCACATCGCAAACCTTCCTATCAGTATAACTTTTCAACCCGGACTGCATTGTACAAAGATGCTCCTAAATTAACTTCACCTTTTCAAAGCATCACGAACCAAATATGTACCCAAGAACCTAGCCTCACCAAGCTCAAACCAACTAATCAGAGAATGACACTGACTCCTATATAAGGCCTCATACGGAGCCATCTAGATAATGGACTGGTTATTGTTGTTGTAAAAAAACTTCGCAAATGGTAGAAACTGATCCCAATGGTCTCCAAAATCAATAACATAGGTTCTAAACATATCCTCAAGGATATGAATGGTCATCTTGGACTGGCCATCCAATTACAAGCCCAAGTATCGCTGAACAACTCTCCAAAAGTGCAATGTGAATTGGGCACCCCGATCCGAGATGATAAAAACAAGCACCCCATGCAAATGGACAATCTCTTTGATGTAGATCTGAGCCAACTTCTCTGAAGTGTAAGAAGTCATGACCGGAATAAAATGCGCAGACTTAGTTAGTCTGTCCACAATGGACCAAACAACATCAAACTTCCTCAAGGTCCGTGGTAATCATACCGTAGAGTCCGTAGTAATCTGCTCCCATTTCCACTCCGGTATCACTATCTGTCAAACCACCCGGTTTCTGATGCTCTTACTTTACATGTTGACAATTTAGACACTGCGAAACATGTCTAACAATGTCTTTCTTCATCCTCTGCCACCAATAATGCTTCTTTAAGTCGCGATCATCTTCGTAGAACCTAGATAGAGCTTCCTCAAGAAGCAACTTCCACAAGCCATCCATATTAGAAATGCAAATCCGACCCTGAAGTCACAATACACCATCATCACCAATGACCACCTATTTAGCACCACCTTGCAACACCATGTCCTTAAGGATAAGAAAATGAGGATCATCATACTAGCGAGCCTTAATGCGCTCAAACAAGGACGACTGTGCAACAACCAAGCAAGAATTCTACTAGGCTAAAAAATATCCAACCTCATGAATCTATCGGCTAAAGCCTGAACATCCATAGCCAATGGCCTCTCCATATCTAGAATAAATTCCAAACTCCCCATGCTCTCCACCTTTCTACTCAAGTCATCCGCTACCACATTCGCCTTACCCGGATGATACAAGATAGTGATATCATAATCTTTCAACAACTCCAACTATCTTTGCCGCCTCAAATTCAAATCCTTTTGCTTGAAAAAATGCTGAAGACTCCGATGATCAGTGTAA